AAAAAAAAAAAAAAAAAAAAAAAATAACACCTAGTTCTTCTTTCTTGGCTCTCCCATACCCAGGGCCACAATCTACTTTCTGCAGACAGATCTTTGCATTCCTGATGTCTTTGTTTTGTTTTTGTTTGTTTGAGACGGGGTCTCCCTAGGTAGTCCAGGGTGTCTTTGAACTCAGAAGTTCCCCTGCCTCAGCCTCCCAAGTGCTGGGATTACAGACATGCGCCACTGCACCTAGATTTGCATTCCTAATCTATTGAGGCTTCTCCAGAGTCACGGTTTTTAGCCTTCCACAGAATGAATCAAATATAATTGACTTAAGCATACTTTCTCTTTTAGTATATTTTTTTTCGTTTTTGTTTCTGATGGGTCTTTTTTCTGCCAGGGTCTTGCTATATAGTCCAGGCTGATCTTATGCTCGCTCTGTAGTCTAGGCTGGCCTTGATCTTGTGATCCTCTTGCTTCAGCCTCCTGAGTGCTGAGATTACAGTTTTTTTCTTTATTACAGATATTATTGGAATGTCTCAGTACATCTTTCTTTACCTGTGTAATCTAGTATTTCTTTAAGCACAATCCCCAGTTATGGAATTGCTAGACTAAGATGTATGTCCATTTTAAATATTAACTAATAATGTGTAATGGTCCTTTTTATAAAGGTGAAATCAAAATCCATCAACCACTCCCATAGATAAGAATAATAATTTCCCTTCATCAACGCTTTATAATTATTTCCTCTGAGTTGTCCCTTGCCATATTATCTTAATTTTTTTTTAAGAATTTATCCTATGTAATCAGAGTGAATCCCTTGCCTGTTATTTATATTTCTAATATCTTTTTATTTTATCTGTTGTCCTTTATGGTTTTTCTAATTTAATAAACAAATACTTCTTGATTCTAGGAATTACGTTATAAATACATCTAGTGCATTCAGAAAATTAGATTTTAATATCTGGTTTGAAAGTAGAACAGTTAAGTGTTTAACAGAAATATTTCTCTTAAGTGAATGTTTTCATTGTTCATGCAATAAAACTGTTTTTGAAATACTTTTCCTCAAAGGGATTTTTAGCTAATCAGATGAGAGCGGAGAATTTGAAGGATGCGTCTGTATTACCTGATTTATGCCTGAGTCATGCAAATCAGTTGATGATTATGTTGCAAAATCATAGAAAGCTGTTGGATATTAAACAGAAGTGTACCACTGCCAAACAAGAATTAGCAAATAATCTACACGTCAGGTTGAAGTAAGTGATTCTATTATATCTAACTTTGGATCTTTAAACTTGATGTTTGTTTCTCCCTGTTAACTTTCCCCGTCACTGCTTTATTCAACTACAACTTGGGGATTAAATTATTTTTATTGAGCATGTACCTCTTGATTTTCTTAGCTTAATGAAATTATTTCTAACAAACTTCTGTGACTATTGAAAATAATGGGTTTTATTCTGTAGGTGGTGTTGCTTTGTGATGCTTCATGCCGATCAAGATGGAGAAAAATTGCAAGCTTTGCTCCGCCTCGTAATAGAGCTGTTAGAAAGAGTCAAAATTGTTGAAGCCCTTAGTACTGTTCCTCAGATGTATTGCTTAGCTGTTGTTGAGGTTGTAAGGAGAAAAATGTTCATTAAACACTACAGGGAGGTATGGAGTTTCAATTCTGTCGTAATTACGTGTGGACAGCAGTGGGTTGGTGTACGTTGCTGATACACGTGTTTCTCTTGCAGTGGGCCGGTGCTCTGGTCAAAGACGGGAAGCGACTGTATGAAGCCGAGAAGTCCAAGCGGGAATCCTTTGGGAAAGTATTTAGTGCGTATTCCTCACTCATAGCTTCATTCACTTTGTTTTTAAAGAAAAAGGAAGTTTTCATTTCGTATATGTAAATTATCTAGAGCATTGTACTCATTTACTTGGTATTAATTACCTTGAAATCTAGAAAAGCATTGTTTTTAAAGCTTTTAAAGTTCATTCTGTTGTTAAGTTTTAACTGTCAAGCACTGTCAAGACTTTTACTTTTTCAAAAACCAGAGGTGGCTTTTTGCCTTAATAAAAGATGTAAAATAACCATATTGTTAATTTTTTTATGCAGGGAAGTCTTTTTTAAGAAATCGTCTGTTTAGAGGACTGGACTCCTGGCCACCTTCCTTTTGTGTATGTATTTATTTTCTAATCATAACTAACCCTGCACCCCACTAGAGGCCTTGTCAGGGGAAAAAAACAGTGATTTTTATTAAATGAAAAATGAAATGTTTTTGGCTCTAAAGATCAGTTGGTATGAAGCTTTTTTTTTTTTTTTGAGATCTTACTGTATAGTTCAGGCCACCATGCCCAGCAGCATAAAGCTTTTGGTCTGACCTCTGCCACACAGGAAGATATCCCGTATTGAAATCTAGAAATCCCTGTTAGGATTAGTCATGTCTCCCCCTACCCCTTCTGTTTGTTTTTTGAGACGAGGGTCTCATTGTGCAGGCTGGCCTTGAACTCATGGCTACCCTGCCTCGGCCTCCTGAGTGCTGGGATTACAGGTGTGCACCGCGCCTAACTTTCTATCTCTTTCTGGTATTTTCCCCTCCTCTCCTCCCCTGCTTTCTTCCTCCATCCTTCCCTCCTGTTTTCTTGCGTCTGTGACACTCCCGGCCTGTAATGACTTGGAATTAAGGGTGCGTGCCGTAGTTACTTGACTCATAACTGGGACACAGTACCCAGCACCAGCAAGTTAAAGGAGGAAAGGCTTGTTTGGGCTCACAGTTTGTAGAGCTTTCGGTCCGCAGTTGCTGGCTTCAGGGCAGGGTGGCGTGGCGAGGCTTGCTGCTCAGGACGGCAGGCAGGCGGGGGTGGGGGGGTGGGAGGAGGGGAGATGCGTCTTTCCAGGCCACTGCCGTGACCGCCCCCCGCCGGGCTCCACCTCCCAGCGGCACACTCGCCTGTAGCTCGCGGAGTGGGCTCGTCCCGCAGGAGCGTCACACCCATGGCCCGGGCTCCTCCTCACGCCGACCTGGGAGCGCATACATCTATGTGTGAACCATAGCAGAACTAATTAAGCCATGAAAAATCATTTTGGAATATTTCTAAGTCAGTGTTGTGTGGGCTTATTAATTTTTCTTTTTTTTTTTTTTTTTTGTCTTTTTGAGACAGGGTCTCGCTCTGCAGTTCAGGCTGGCCTTGAGCTCACTTTGTAGCCCAGGCTGGTCTCAAACTCTCAGTGATGCTCCTGTCTCA